GAGGCGATACAGTGGTCATGTTCGAAGCCTCCATGATGTGTCTGTCCTCATATTGAGCTTTCGCTTATCTGGTGCTTGCAAAGGCTGCGCTGCTGCATACAATTGCTGTAGCTTTGGTCAACTCGTCTCATCCAAGCGAAACCGACCTTCTGTATCGCCGTGATATCCCGTCGTGTTTGGGAGCCCGTCTATCATACGAGGCTGACAGAGCGTAGCAATCCCAAACGATACACAATCTCTGCCCGAGAGAAGGGCGTTCTCTCGATTTGACCTCATAACAGAAGGTGATACGAAGATGTGTCCCTTCGCGTTGCCCGACAGACGACTTGGGGTTTTTGATCCGGGACTTACTTTGCAAGAAGGCTGTGCAGCTTGGTGGTGGGAATTTTCTGGTTGAGTTGGACTGAGAATGCAGTGAAGACTCCGCTTCCCAGCGCGGCCGGGCTTTGCATGCAGGATTGAGGCGGCAAAGTTGCCAAAACGACCTTGAGAGCTTGAGGCGGGCTAACATTGCAGTGAAGCTTTCGCCACCCTCAGGCTAAGGGGGGGGGGGGCTTTGCATACAGGCGCAGGGTTTGCGGTCCCCCAATCAGCATACGCGCTCATCACCAGCTGTCAACTAGGATGATATTGATAAAATCTTTTGATACCTATGTCTTTATGGAAGAGCTAGAAGGGTAAGGACCTGCGAATGCGGTGTCGTCGCGAGCAGCATTCTGTGTTTTGGAGGAGTTCGCGGTCGGTCGTAGGTCAAGTCTTGAGATGTCTTATGGTCCTCGTCTCCAGTATGCTCCAACCCAGTTGTGTATGTTGTGGAGCTTTGAGACTTTGATGTGCCATGGCAAGAATGCAATGCGTGGAGACGCAGGCGTTCAGCAATAAGACGTGCTGTCTTGACCTATACCGCGGTGGATTGCGATGTAAGTGCTATTGGTAGCTTGAGAACCCAAGAGCTCGAGTGGCAGCACTCGTTGCGGCAGTTTCTCTAACATTGTCAGAATCGCCGGAGGTAGACGAGGGCGAAGGAGAGGATGGTAGTTTGGAAACAGCAAAGCAAGTCGTCGCTTCGAAGCTAGAGGTCCCCGTATGAAGCCTTCTCCAGCCGCACCCGACATTTGCATCGCTTTGCTCATGCCTTCGTCGATTTGATTATTGAAATACCAGTGTCAGAAATAGACGGACCGACAAGAACTTGTTCACCTTGCCTATCAGCCGTCTTGAAGACCTTTTATTAGATTCACTATACAGCTACTGCGAGAGGTCCGATGCCTGTCGGACCTATGCCTATTGCCCAGCCTAGTCGTGATATTGTTGCCATCATCACGGGTGCTTGGGTTGGAATCAAGCTCATCTATGCTGTGTGGCTGCTTCGATCTCATAATCTACGCTATGAATCAGCGTGTGGCAGCATGACTTCAGTGTTCTGATTACAATTGGTAAGTTCAAGTCGAATGGTTCGCATTATCAAACGTGGCGGGTCAAGTCGAAGACGCGGCGGAAAAGAGCCGACAGGTCCGTTCGTGATGAAATAGGATGGAGTGAGATAGGATGGAAAGACGAATGTGGCATGACACATCTTACCACATTGGACGCTGATGGACAGCCATGCGCGCTGTGAATCACCAACCTTGCCACTCGGAGGAGGCAAGTTGGTTGTGTTTGTGGGCTAGTGTTTCGGCAATGGACGGTGTGTGTCCAAATAGTCGTGGGTGGTCTACTTGAACGTCGGCCACTATCAGAGTGTCGCCTCCTGTCGGCGACCACGCGGCTTGCGAGGCCGCATGAAGTGAAGCGTTGCATTTGGCGGGGGATGTTAGTATCGACGATGGATGGTGGGATTCGTTTCAAAACACGTGCGATTGGGGATGTCGCAAGAATTCATTCATGCCTAAACTATACTCATTACCCTCGATTTCGATAGAAGATCCCGGTGGACACATGAAGAGTTGCAAATTGACATACATATGCCATCTTTCCCCCTTCTCACCGAAAACCACCGAGCCCGGTGAAGACAGTTAAGCTTGTTTCGAGCACATCAACTGTCACTTACAACGCCCACCCCGGCCGCTTCCAACGCGGGCCAACCCGCAAATTCTTCCCGCTCCCAATCCTCAGACGCTTGCCAGCCAGACTTCAACAAGGGGATGGGAATGGCAGGACAAGTTGCCTGTCTAATGATTCACTGATATGGAAACTATGTCCGACGATCACTGATTCGCTCCCTCTGCCTCTCTGTGAAAAGAATTCCCATAATAGGGGAGTTTCCCTTGGGTAGCATTGACTTAATCTCGCAATGCTCCACACCAGAAACCCAGCAAAGCAAAAAGTCGTACCCATTATCCGCATCATAAACAGAGAGAAAGACGCACACGCCAACGCAGAGAAAAGAAGGGGGGAAATCTTGAAAGTGTTGCCCTTTTTAGCCTAAGTGCCTGGCAGGGTGACATTCGTTGGATGCACTCTAGAAAAGAAGGACGGGAAAGGAATCGAACCCCAAATCATAATCAAATCTCGATAAGCCGGACCCCTTTTCTCTCTAATCCTGCGCGCAACTTCAAAGGTCCCCGAGGTAACTATACCATTTTGCAAATATGGCTGCGCATACCGACAGCGCGCAGCTAGCCAGTCGGCTCGATGGACTGGTTATGGTCATCCCGGACCTACGCCGGATGGTCAGCCACTGGCCGTCTGGGAAGAATACTCATGCCTCCGAGGTTGAGGGGTTGATTTGCAAACTATTGGAGCAGAGGTGAGTTTGTCCGACATGAAGATGGACTGGTTTAGTTACTGACTTATTACAGCGATGCGTCACCGAAAGACAAAGCCAATGTCATGGAAGCGAATCCGGCTCTCTTGGCCTCATGGTAAGTAATCCACAAGAACAGTTCAAGAAAGGAGAAAAAAAAACTCCCCAGCACTTGCTGATAAGTGGTGTGTGAGTGATGTTAGCCTCTGGCCCAACGCAACAAGAGAGAGACTTGGCACCTTAACGCTCATGGTGCTCTGGCAGGGCAGACTCGATGACCATATCGAAAGCCTCGAGTACAAGAGCGCGGAAAAGGCCAAGGATTTCCGCAACAAGGCTAAGGACTATATTGCACAATATCTTCAGCTCTCCGAGGGGCCCAAGGAGGCGTCAACGAACCTCGTCATCGCGGGGTTCCAACCGGTTGCAACAGTCATTTGCCAGCAGTACGACCGGGGTGAGTCCAACCCCCCACCCCCCCATTATCTGGGTATAGCAGCGAAATCTGAGGGCTGATTTCTTTTGGTGGTGGCAGATCAGCGGAGGAGGTTGAGGGCCAGTCTGTTCGAGTACATTGACTCGACCGTGCAAGAGATGCGGTATATCCAGAACGGACACGCGCCGACGACGTTGTCGTACGAGAAGCTTCGCAAGAAAACGGGAGGCGCAGGCCCTCTGTGCGCTTTGGCAGAGTAGGAAATCATGAGGAAATCTCTTTTGAAATGTTAAACTTTTGCTGATGGAAGTAGGTTCGCCTCTGGGTCAGAGTGGCCGGCGCACGTCGTCAATTCGCAGCCGTATAAGATGATCCTGGAGTCGGTCAGCATCATCGTTGGCCTGTCAGTTTCCCCCCTTTGATGGACCCCGAAATGGAGATGTGCAAAAGCTGACGGGGTACTTTTCTGGAAATAGGACGAATGACTTGCTCTCGCTGAATAAGGAGCTGGTAAGTAGACTCGTGGTGCTGGTGCTGCTGCTGGTGCTGCTGTGTGAGCGGAGGAACTAATCATTCGAGTAGCGAAAAGGCCGGATTCTCAACGCGGTGCCGGTGCGGTACTGGAATGGCAAAGACGGCAGTGACCTGGAGAGTGCCGTCGGAGAAGTCGTGGAAGAGATTGACAAAGCCGTCAAGCAGCTCGACGTCTGCGAGCGAAGATTGATCAACCAGAGCCTGGCGGATGCGGACGCGATTCGGGAGGTGACTGCGACGCTCAAGACGATTTGCACTGGCAACTTGACTTGGAGGTCTGTGACTTTGTATTCCCCTCCCTCTCTAAACTTGCGTGTTACTGACAACGGGAACAGTCTTGAATCGAAGCGGTACAACGTAGGTCCTCCGGATGCCGATGGAAGTCTGAGGCAGGAATTGAGGGCTCCCGATGCATGAGATAGAGGGCAATTGGAGAAATGAAGGCGGTAATGGAAGATGATAATGAATGGTCATGAGAGGTAGAAGTAATAGCTGGGCGGCAACGCCGCGAGTAGAACGCCCGTAATGATGAATGATACCCCCAAAAGGATTTGATCTCAACCGTCAATTGACGGTCCAATTGCGTAGGCTGCTGATTGTGTGGTTGTCAAGCCCCCGAGTCCTAGTGCCAGCGGATTGGGAAAAAGGACCGAGGACCTTGAGAGGCAGCGATAAAAGCAAGTATCACGGGAAAAGAAAGCAGAGGTTGATGAGATGCAGACGTTATTGGTGGCGTGCATGACAAGTCAAGTTTGCGTTACAGCGCCCCCGGGCTTGTGAACAAATGCGGCGTACCAGCGCGACCGCGCCAGAAGGATTTTAGCCTCTCAGCAACTTGGGATTATTACACACCTAGTAGTGCTCCATACACAGAACTGAACTATTAATCTGCCTATGGATACAGTAGCTTAGGTAAATAGGTACAAAATGATTGTCTCACAGGGGAAAGAGGGCCGGACGCAGGGGGGACGTTTGCCATTGGACGTTGGTCTGATGTCATGGCAATCTGCGAGCTCAGCCAAGCAAATGTCTCAATTGGCGCGGGCAGTGGCAGTGGGCGCGGCCCCTCTCAAGCTTTCAGCTCCAGGGCAGCGTCTGGGGAAAAGACCAAAGCTCCCCCCCAAGCTCTTGTCCCCGGGAAAACAGAAAGCTCCCAACACACAAACACATATCATCCAACTTCGTGCCCCCGTCTTAGAGCTCTACAGAATCTACCCAACTTTCCACGCTCACATCGCATCAACTTCAACCTCAAAACCCCGTACAGAGCTACCCACGGACACAATGGCTTTCCGCTTCGCCGCAAGAAGACTCGCCCTCACCCGCCCCGCCGTGCCGGCGCGGGCCTTCCACTCCACGCCCGCCGCCTTCGTCAAGGTCGGCGACGCCGTACCCGAGGTCGACCTCGTCGAGAACTCGCCCGGCAACAAGGTCAGCCTCGCCGAGGAGTTCGGCAAGGTCACCAACGGACTCATCATCGGCGTGCCCGCTGCCTTCTCCCCAGCCTGCTCCGCGAGCCACATCCCTTCGTACATCAACCACCCGAAGCTCAAGGAGGCCGGCCCCGTCTTTGTCGTCTCCGTCAACGACCCCTTTGTGTAGGTTTTCATTCCTGGGACCTGGAGGCATCCGAGGATTCGAAACCTCATTGAGACTTCAAGGCAAGAGTGTGTGGAAAGAATGCGATTGATACTGACGATCAAATAGCATGAAGGCCTGGGGCGACCAATTGGACCCGGCGGCCCAGACTGGAGTATGTTGAGACACCCTCTCTCCTCTCCTTGCGCCGACACAGCAATGTCATGCTAACGTTATGAAAGATTCGATTCCTGGGAGACCCGTCCGGCGAGTTCACCAGAGCATTTGACGTCGACTTTGACAGCAAGGCCATCTTTGGCAACGACCGCAGCAAGCGCTATACCCTCGTGATCGAGAACGGCAAGGTCAAGGAGGCCCACGTTGAGCCCGATAACATTGGCACTGCAGGTAAGATTTCGGGGACCCGTAACACGTCTTATGAGGACTAGCTGACAATGCGAACAGTTTCCCTGGCCGACAAGGTCTTGGGTTGAGAAGACGTGGACTCGGAGTAGCGATGTTGCAAAAATGTACAAGAAGGGGCCATCTCGAAGGTCACTTGGATTAGGTAGATGTAGTTTGAAGAAGGTGCAATATGTATCGCGAATACCAGCTTGAATTCAAAAGTAAACCCCAGAATACGTGTCTCCGAATCCGAACCCCTGACTGACAGCACCAAGAAGAAATGGTGTTTCACGTACCGGCTTCGGGAAACCATAAAGGAACCGAACTTTTCCTTGACCTGCTTAGAAAGCTATCATGTCGGACACGATACGAGAACACGAGGTAATTGGCGATAATGGAACTATCACATTTGTCAGGCGGCCTGCAACACCGAAGCCCAAGAAAACCCCGGGATCAAAGCTGGCCGACCCGGGCACTTGTAGACACCCGACATACACCCGTCGACTGGCGGCATCGGAGCCACTTGGTGCCGGGCCGCTTCCGCCTGACAAATGCAGGGGCAAATATCGTGAGAATGCGACGTCGTTATCGATAAGGATGGATGACTAAGGGAAGAGGAGGGGCAGTTCCGTCAGGTTCCGCACTGCTTATCGAACGACAAACACTGAGTCTCGACTCTAGGTGACACGCTCAAGGGTGGTGGCGCTCAGGGCAGCTGTGTGAGTCGTCCACCGTCATGCACCCTCTCGCTCCTAGGTATGCCTTTGCTCCTGAGTCTCTCATCGCCTAAACTCCGGACTGTACTGGAGGCAAGGACCAGATAATGAGGGCCCAAGGGGCCCATGGAGTCACCTGCCCGCCGTCAGACGCAGTCACTGGCCAGCGACAATTGCAATGACACTGGCACGGGGCTGCATCTGGCCCCCAGGGAGTTTGAAGACTGGTCTCCTCTCCGGTGGGATTGGAGAGGACGAGGTGCTTTAATCGAGTCGTGTGCCTGAAGCCCGCCTCTTTCATCAGTGCCTGATCAGTTTCCCTGGACTTGTATCCGTGGATGTAAAGATAGCGCTGGAAGCGCAAAATAGAAGCATCTGCAACCTTGTGACCTTGTCCCCCCTCACTCCTGGCCTCCAAAAAGGTACCTGAGGTACCTAAGTGAGGTAGTCACTCACATTACTCATCTTGGGACTGAATCCCGCCATCATATTCCCAAGAACATAGGAGATGCGTATTGGAACGTAGTGTCGATGGTGTTCATGTTTAGCGAGTCCCTAGAGTCAGTCAGCCTGTTCAGTGACACTAAATCTCAGAGTTGCAAGGGCCGCACCGTCAGAGTGTGTGGTGAGAGTGACTTTGAAAGAGTCCTCCCGTCCCCCTTGGCCCTGCCCCTACACAGTAAGTACCGATAGTTCACGGTGCAAGCCCGCGCCAGCCCAGCGGGGGATTTGTCCCCCGCCCTAGCGAGGTACTTTACGTTTGGCGATGCCGCCCGCTATTAGTCAGGTCACTCGGCTTCTTGCCTCCAGTGCATTCTTCCAACCAACACCCCCGACGTCTGAGTTCCGTCATTGGATCCAACACTTACTTGCTACCTTAGGTGGGAAGGAAGTCACTGCCTGGTCCTGACTGTCTGGGACTGCCAAACCAACCCGTCCGACTCCCTCCCGCTACATACCTTACCTTATCCACCCATTCATCCCACCCACATCCCACACGCTCAGTCACTCAGATCGTTCACCTTTCCCGCAACGCATTCCAATCCCACTTTCACATCCACATACCCACGCCCACCACACCCATCGCCCATACCTTAGACCGCCGCCCTCGCACTCTTCCTTGCGGCATTCTACACCGCAGGCAACCGAGCCAGGTCCTTACTGCCGCCTACCGCTCTGACTGATCCCGTCCGACCTCGACAACCCGCCCATTCTCGGCACAACCGCAGACAGCGAGCGCCTTTGTACAACCTGCCCAGCTCTTCCCAGCCTTTGTACCTGTTTGTTGCCTCAGCCTTGGGCCATCGCAGCCTGCAACTTACCAATCTACCCCTCCACCCATCAAGTGACTCCCACACCGCGACCGGCGCCCAACTCAGGCATTTGATCTCCCCTCGTTGGATCTGATCCTCGTTCTCCATCTCCCTCATCCGTGTCTCACCCGCCCATACATTTCAAACCCGTTTCCGCCCCCTCGGAAACGCTTCCCTCGCCTCCATCTGCAGTCGGCACCATTCCTCCCACTACGCGGAAGAGAAAGGCCGCTGAGGCGACGATATCCTCCAATAACCAAGACACCACGACAAAGAAGAGGATCGCCTCGGCTGCTGGACAGGACGCTCCCCCAACCCCCGTCACTACCGCGAGCAACGGCATGGATTCAGAGGAGGACTTCATGTCGGCTCCTTCGAGCGACGACGAGATCATGCAGGACGACAGCGGCGAGGACATGTCTGGTCCTGATGGTATGTATACACCGCTCAACCCACCTCGAGACTTCCCGGCCTCAAAGCCACCGACTGACGTCTTTGATCCCTCCACAGATTTCGATGAAGATGACTTCGAAGACGAGCCCGAGGACCTGGGCATGATCAAGGACTCCGACAGCAAAAAGAAGGTGGCCTACGACATCTCATTCAAAGTGTACGAACCAAAGGACATTCAGCGTCAACAGGATGACATGATTGACGAGGTCAACATGATCCTGAACATCCGCAAGGAGGACGTCGCGATATTGTTGCGGCACTTTAGGTGGAACAAAGAACGTTTGATCGAGGACTACATGGACGCTCCCAACAAGGTCTTGGAGGCTGCCGGCCTTGGCTCGAACGTGGCTGGCCCGCCCAAGCTTGAAGCCATTCCCGGTTTCATGTGCGATATCTGCTGCGAAGACGAGGAGGGCCTTCAGACCTTCTCTCTGAAGTGCGGCCACCGATACTGCGTAGACTGCTACCGCCAATACTTGACTCAAAAGATTCGCGAAGAAGGCGAGGCGGCTCGTATTCAATGTCCGGCCGAGGGCTGCGGTCGCATCATCGATTCAAAGTCCTTGGATCTGCTCGTTGCAGCCGATCTCAACTCCCGATATCATGAGCTGCTAAATCGGACGTACGTGGAGGACAAGGAAATCCTGAAGTGGTGCCCTGCACCCGACTGCCCAAATGCCGTGGAGTGCGCCATTAAGAAGAAGGACTTGGACAGAATCGTCCCCACAGTAGCATGCGGTTGCGGTCATCGCTTCTGCTTTGGTTGCATTTTGACTGATCATCAGCCTGCGCCCTGTGAGCTTGTCAAGCGATGGCTGAAGAAGTGCGCAGACGATTCGGAGACTGCAAATTGGATATCGGCCAATACCAAGGAGTGCCCCAAGTGCAACTCGACAATCGAGAAGAACGGCGGCTGCAACCACATGACATGCCGGAAGTGCAAGCACGAGTTCTGCTGGATGTGCATGGGCTTATGGTCGGAACACGGCACGAGCTGGTACAACTGCAATCGGTTCGAGGAAAAGAGTGGTACAGATGCGCGTGATGCCCAGGCCAAGTCTCGCATATCGCTAGAACGCTACCTGCATTACTACAACCGATACGCCAACCATGAGCAGTCTGCCAAGCTCGACAAGGACATCTACCATAAGACGGAGAAGAAGATGGTCCAGCTTCAGACAGCCTCAGGCATGTCTTGGATTGAGGTTCAGTACCTGAACCAGGCCTCACAAACGCTACAAACTTGCCGGCAGACTCTTAAGTGGACCTACGCCTTCGCATTTTATTTGGCGCGTAACAACTTGACCGAGATTTTCGAAGATAACCAAAAGGACCTTGAGATGGCTGTCGAGGCCTTGTCAGAGATGTTTGAGAAGCCCGTTCAGGAGCTCTGTGACAAGAAGTTGAAAGTCGACATTATGGACAAGACGTCATACTGCAAGAAGCGAAGGATTATCTTGCTTGAAGACACTGCAGACAACCTGGCCAATGGTATGTTTGCAATATGAACCAGATCGAATAATAACTGACCGTACTAGGACGTTGGACATTCAACGTAGATCTCCACGGACCTTCACCAGTCGGGGCCACAAGCAGTCGTCGTCAGTAGATCATGGATGACGCGGGCCCAGCGGAGCGCGACTTCGATGATGACAGCGGCGACGAATTCTTCTACAACGAACCCTTGCCTACCAACAATGTGGTGAGGCAGTGGTGTTTGCCGTGGTGAAAGAATACGATTCGCTTTTGGGCTTGGTATGGATGTATACAGAAGCATGGACTCAGGGAGCCACGCCAAAACATTTGTGGCGGGGTTTGAGACGAATACCTTGGAAGAGGAAGGCATTAGACCCAGAAACGGAATCAACACGGGGAAGGATCGGCTGCTGCCTCTTGGTCATACTTTAGTTGTCCAAGTATGACACGAGGTGGGATTCATTTCTTCTCTTCTCTCTTTCATAGTAAAGGAAGGCAAGGGAATGACTGCTTGCGCATCATGAGCATTGTGTATGGTATAGGTCTTCAGGTTACATGCCCAGTGTCCCAGGCACGGCGGGCTTCTTTTTCTTTTTTTTTTTTTTTTCCAATCATTGGGCAAGATCACGTCCTGGTCAGTTTTCCATCCCGGATCCTATATTTTGAATGAGACCTGTGAAGCTCGTGGAATTCTGTAAGCCGGCCGACACAAGACGCGCACTACTAAACGTTTTTGAACGCTTTTGTCGTACCTTGTGATAAAGAATGGGCTGTAATCGATAAGGTGGGATTGGGGGCTAGGCGGCTACCGGTCCGGGCCGAAATTGAATGCCTAGCTAGATCCTCAAAAGACAGATGACCTCACAACGACAACCCTACAAATAAGAGATGCCTGCGAAGGTTAGGTTGTAGTAATCCATGACTTGAGCAACGACCCAGCCAGCAAACTATTAAGCAGATCACAAACCACAGGACACATGTTTCATCAGAAAAACTAAGTCTTCCGGCCATGATATATTCACATCATCACTACTTAAAAACTCCGTGGTCTCCTAGTGATTACAACGCATACAAGAAACCCTGGCTACCCCGTCTCTCTTGACTTTCCGGCATGCTCCTCATGTTCTGTGG